CAGCATGCAGAGGAAGACGTATAGAAGACCCCATGGGAAGACATGAGAAAGGCTGAAGTTCAGCCAAGCAGATTCACTGAACCCACATTCTACAAAAAGAGGAGACTCCCTACTGCTGAAGTTCAGCCAAGCAGATTCACTGAAACCACACTCTACAAAAAGAAGAGTACTTGCAGTAGGAGACTCCCTACAACATGGGATTGAAACTTGAAAGATGCCTGGAAGATCCATGGACCTGCCAGGTGTGCTATCTCCCTGGAGAACCGATTAGGGATGTGACAGAAGAATTGTCATAATCACTCATGAAATCCATGTATGCATATCCCTTTCTTATCTGGAGAACAGATTAGGGATGTGACAGAAGAATTGTTATAATCACTCATAAAATCCATGTATGCATATCCCTTTCTTAATCTTGGGGTAACAAATGACATTGTTAAGAGAAACTACAAAGAAATCACAACAGATTTTGAAGCTCTGCAAAGGAAACACAAGGAGTTTGGGGCCCAGATATGAAGGTGGTGCCAAAGTGAGGGATCTGGGTTTAAGGACCATGAGCTATGCTTCCTGGAAGATAGACTACTTGCAACTGATGGGTTGCATCTCACATGAACTGGGAAGAATGTGTTCGGCCACAGCATGAAGAACATCATCAGGAGGGCTTTAAACTGAATTGGAAGGGGGAGAGAGATGCAAGTACAGACGTAAATATGATTTAATAGGGATAATGGAAAGTTTGTGGGATAACTCCCATGAATGGAATAAAGCAACTGAAGGATAAAAATTGTTCAGAAAGAACAGAAAGGGAGGTGGAGTTGCAGTGTATGTCAAAAATATACATTCCTGCACAGACATACAGGAGGATGAGCTTGGTTGTCCCATTAACAGCATCTGGATTAATATAACTGGGGCAGAAAACAACAGTAGCATAGTAGTTGGAATCTACTACTAACTGCACAGTCAAGGAGAAGAGATGGATGAAACCTTCGAAAAACAAACTGCAAGAATTTCAAAGAGACAAGATGTAGTAGTAATGGGAGATTTCAATTATCCTGATATCCTTGATTCTATGATGATGGGCCTTGTTCTTATAAAATAATTAGCTACTAATTCCATTTTAATTTCTTTAAAGTATATTATGCATCTGTCTCGAAAGATTTAAAAGGTTAAGTTGCAAATGGAAATTCATTATTGACAACTGTTGCTGAATTAATCTCTGTACTACATGTCGACATAACTGTACTACATAAGGGCTTAATATTGGCCAAAGAAGACAAGCTGTTATTATTATAAGCAGCCTCCTCAATTTAATTGAGGTGCATGGATCCAGAAGAATATGTTGTTAATGCATGAAAACCTGGGACTTTCTGAGCAGGCCTTGGTGAAGTCAAATAACAGTTTTTAATTATTTATTTTAAGTATGAATATTTAAAAAACACATTCATCTTCAAGCTTTGATGTACTGATGTCATGTATTGTTTTATATTGCATCATAAAGTGTCTATATTATTCTGTAAGAATAAAATACATAGTAGACGCAGAATGCTTATGCCAACAGGTTGTATTTTCAAAGAATATACCCCACAACAGGAATTGTTGGTGTAGATGTAATACAATGAGAAGAACACTCCACAAGCACCATAACACTAAATGCCCTGAGCCACACAGCTGTGGAGTAGACCCCAAAAGCATGTGGCATTATCAGATGGCACTCAGCTGGTAAGGACTGAACCTAGAAGAGAGAAAGCAGTCTCCTAGAAAATCAAATCCCAAGCTTTTTAGGGCTTTATATACTAACAACAAATCTTAAACTGAACCAGTGGCAAATAGGCTATCAGTACAGCCTCTTCCACTGAAGCATATGTTGCTGGGACATCATCTCACTCAGTAATCTAGCTGAATGTTCTGCACCAACTATAATTTCTACATCGGCATTAATCCAACCCTTAAAGCAACAGATTAATCTCAAGATGATCAACGCCTGGACTGGTCTGGCCAAACTATCAACTTGATAGAAAATAATTAATAATTTTGTTAATTTGTTAATTAATTCAACAAGTGTCACAGATGAACAACAAATAGCCTTAGCACAGGAGAAGATCAAGAACATTTAAGGCCCTATTCTCTCCATAAAGATACACACAATTCTTCTGAGCATCAAGAGGAGTAACAAATCAAAGGGTGCAATCCTACGGAGACATACTGCTGTATCTCTGGCTATACCTCAGGTCAGGGAACCATAAGCCAAACAAGACAGTCCTGCATTCAAGATTTGGAAAGACCTGCATGAAAGTATGGATGTTCCCAGTTCCTATCATATGGTCCATTATGGCCTCTTCCCATCTCTGGTACTCTCCACTGGGAATGACTTTGCATCTGAGCATGCACATATGATTCCACACTGGACTCTGAAGGTCAGATCCCCCTCGAGTTCAGAGTGTTCCTCACAGCCAGAGGTTTTCAGTGCTGCTGTTTAAAAATTCATATTTACCACAATTAGCAGCACTTTCAGAATGCAATGGTATGTCATAATGAGGCCTTTCTCACAGTTAAGGTTGCCTGCAGAGGGTGTTCCTCACATGGAAGAATGGGGATTTTGCTTTTTGTTGTTGTTGTTGGTCATCAGCAGGACATCATTAGGTTGGAGTAATGGTGTGCATGGGGCGTAGGTCAGTTACCGCAATGTTTTGCCCTATTTTCAGGGCATGAACAAAACACTATGATTACTCAAGTGTCAGAGAGCTGTTTCTTCTTAATGTTTTGCCCTATTTTCAGGGCATGAACGAAACACTATGATTAAATGTCAGAGAGCTGTTTCTTCTTGAGATCTTAACTTGAAAATAGGAAAAAAGATTTTGGAATAATTACTTTCTTCTATGCTAAGGAGAAATAGATACTATGGAGCCTCTTTTTTTTCTTGAGATCTTAACTTGAAAATAGGAAAAAGATTACTTTCTTCTACGCTAAGGAGAAATAGATACCATGGAGCCTCTTTTTTAAAATGGTAATTTCTTTTTGTTTCATGTAAGATGTGTACAATTTATCTGTTCTAGAAGACAAAACTTGAAACTGCCTAAACACACAATCCTTACCTGCTAAGAAGCATTTGAGGGGAGTATCTTACATTCCCATCATACTGACAGAGGTCACCTCTGAGCACCTGTCTACTATCCAATTAAGAATCTGAAATAGCTTAGCATATGTCAAAGCAGTATTGCGCCTCGTACCAATGTAGTTCTCAGATTTCTTCTGCAAATTGTATATACTGTATATATATTTTTAAGAGCAACTGGTGTCTTGATTTTTCCATACAAATCATCCATAGGGGCTACTCACGCTTTCTGCCAGTGCAAGCTGTTTTTGAACAATTCAAATGACACACCGGGCTGTATTTTATGTTCGAGGGGGCTGCCTCATTTTGCCTTATGGTCAAGCTGATGCTATAGATGAATGTGCATAGCCTACGGTCATGTTTCCTGCTCTTTATTCAAGGCAGAGAGGGAAAAACCTGTCCCAGTATCTCCTACTCTGTAGAACCTACACTTCAGGAAAATACAAAACAGTTCGCAATCTTTCCACAGTAACATGAGAACAACTGCCCTCCACAAATATACAACATTTGCAAGCAAGATTTTCCGTGCCAAATCTAAAATTAACAACGTGCCACATTATTTTTACAATGATATATTTAAAAACAACATTGAGACGTTATGACTAATGCAATTCAGGCTTTCAGAATTTGGATGGAATTTAATTCAATTTTAATTTCCTCCTGCACTTCAACAGGATATCACAAAGGCATTCCCAATGAAGGGATGGAGCAGAGAGGTTTCCTAAGAGTGCTGGCAAACATTCAGGAAACAACTGAGAGGTGTAGCTTAAGTAATGCATTGTCTAGTTAAGGTTTGAAGAAGGCCATGAGATATTGACAAGCAGAACAGGCTTAATGTTATGGAGAATTTAAATGAAGATTCCTGCTTCCAGACATTTCGCATATTTTTAGATGTAAGTTGAAATACTTTTCTCATCTCTGATCGTCTCCCTGCCCCAAACCTGTTGTTTGCCAAATAGGACAGCTCCTATCATCTACGTATAGTCAGTAGCCATGTTCCTCTTGTTTAGCTACGCAAATGGTGTAACTTCTGGAGTCGAATTGTCCCCAGCTATGAAATCACTGTAAACATTATCAGTCGCACACACAAAACAATATGCAGCTGATAAAGTCTATGGTGATTCCTTAACTTGTGGCAATTCATATCCAATAGCTATGCTCTTTGTGTTATTCCATCATAACCAGGCAACAGGTTATGCTCTTTGTGTTAGTCCATCATTACCAGGCAACAGGTTTTGAGTCTGTGTGGTCCAATATAGCTTGTGGGCTCCAAGGTGGGGAAAGCTATTGCAAGACTGCTTCAAAAAGAACTACTCACTCAACTAGCTTAGGGTCAAAGCAAGTGTCAAACCCCCAAAAAATCACAAACTAAAAACTAATCAGATGATTACATTACATTTGCCCTCCCTTTTAACCTGCAAGGCTTTAACAGGCTAAAGTTCAAGAGGCAAAGTTTCCCCTACCATAGAGATGCCTTTCATGCTAAATTTCTGCAGATCACACAAAGTAGGATCTTTCCTCGACAGTGCCCGTTTATTCTTTAAATACACCATTGGAAGGGTTTCACTCATGTTTGCAACATGAAGAGAGGTTCTGTATAATTCAAAAGCTTACCTATTACATGTTGATCTTTTCTTAGTCTTAAGAAAAGAAGTTTACCCATCCCCTGCATTTTGGAGGTATATGAGCCAATACATTTACAGTACCAGAGGAAATGTTTGAAAAAAAAAATCCAAAAGAACCTTTTAAAAGTATGGAAAATTTCTGGTTTAAATGAGTTTCAGTTGTTTCCATAAATGAAAAAGAACCTTTTAAAGAAAACTAGAGTGCTGGAAGTAGATGCAGTCCAAGAGGGAAGGTCGGAGTTATAAAACAGAGCATTACATACCTAGATGTGTTTGTGCCATTACATCAGCTAGCCTATGAGCAGCGCCACTGCCACCGCTTTGCGTTGAAGATGAAGACGTCGTAGATGTGGTAGAGCCATGGATTGCTTGGCTGATCCAGTGTTCCATGTTTATACTCCCTTGGCTTGAGGTGGGAGTTCCCTGGGAATCACCCTGTACGGATCCTTCATCTTCCGACCCAGATGAGGTATCTTAGAATGGAGCAAAACCCAGGATTATACTGCGAATTTATCTGTGCACCTTCACTCAGAAGGGTCAAGCTGCAAGAACATTTTAACCTTATGCAAAAAACATATATAAACGATGGTTGCCCAGGGGGGAAAAAATTCAAAAGTTTAGCACTGCAAATGAAGATGGTACTCTGTGCACTTTCCCAGAGGAGAACTCCCATGGATTCTGGATTTAAGGCAGTGTGTCACATGAAGAGCTTAAATGGATGGGATCATATGGACATGAAATCAGGACTAGCATTCCAAACCAACATTATTATTTAGATGTCAGATGGACTGTATTCAGATGGGTCTTGTTGCTGAATAAATACATTTAGTGTGCGCGTATTAGCTTCACCGAATGTAGAAGAACAGAATGAATCAGTGACTTTGCTGTATCAACAGGCAAATAAAGGAAGAGTTGAGAGAAATCAGTATCATGTCAGAAGACTATGCATATTTATATGGCAGGAGATTCCCGGGATCCCTTCCCACCAAGGTGGTCCCTATTTATCTACTTGCATTTGCACGCTTTCGAACCGCTAGGTTGGCGGGAGATCATGTGAGAAGACTATCCATATTTATATTGCAGGAGATCCCCGGGATCATACGTGTACTTGTGTAAAAAGTAAAAAAGCATGTGATCAGAATGTATGTCCAGAACTATTGCCAGCTGGAGGCTAACAAACTCTACTCCTTATCCTCTAAAGATCTACTGTATTGAGATAAAATGTATTTAATCCTACAACAAATTCAGAAGTGGATGATCAAACAAGAAACCACAAAGCCAAATGGGCTGTTAAATTTAGCAGTAATACATATAGTATTCACTTCTTACCTGGAGGTGTGTAGGCATCCATTGATGTTTGGACCACCAATGAACGTCGCTTGGATGGCATAGGCACTGCCATCTTCCTTTCTTTATGTTTTGCAAGAGCTGCCTGGACTGCTTCCGTATGAACATCTAGAAATAAAATCTAAATATCAGTTTGGAATTCTAGGCAAAGAGATTAATAACGCAGGGAGTTTTTACAAGAGAGTTGACCTGGGGGATTTATTTTCCAGACACATATTTATGTAGCCTTCAAGTCATATGGCAAGGACTCCATTCTGCAGAGACTAACACAATGAAAAGGCAGCAAGGTATGTGCTTGAATAAACTATAAGCTAGATATGTACTTGAAAGCTTCTGGAAGAGCACTAAAGCTGCAGTTCAGAAGAAACTTTCTTTGAAATAATTGCCAGTGAGAACAACGGTTTACTCCAGACCGTGGAGGGAACTATCTTCAACAGGCTGAAAGCTTAGCTCCATTCCTTTTCACTTTCTGCCTATTGGTCCCGATGGCTCTTGCTTAGCCTTTCCTTGCTTAGTTCTTAGTTTGATTCACTGCCGCTGCTACTTTTTAGTGGCTGTTCTTCTTAGTCTTGATTTTATTTAGAGTATCCATAATCCTATTAGTGTTTCTGTGAAGTCTGAATAACTTTCCACAGCTAATTGTGGCTAACATGTAAGGTGCCAGAACGTGTCTTTGTCATGTGTTTGTTCACACATCTAGTTGCACAAAGAAGACAGATCCTGGTACATCATAAATAAGCTGCATATAGCCAAAGCGAGTTAGACAAGTCTTAGACACTAAGAGGATTCCTCCCATTGTCATTAACTAATGTTTACTGTATTGCAAACTGCATTGAAGGTGGAGGGTCTCTGGGGCATATGTAAAACTATATAATACCAAAGAAGGAAAAGCAGCTTCAGTACCAAATGCTGGTACAGAGATAGCATGTATTTACTGTACTTATACAGCATCACCAAAGAGCAATCAGAAATGAAAAACAAATTACTTTTTCATATTATAACTCTGGGCAACTCCCACGTTGTTTGAAGTGTTTTAAGATTTTGGACAATCTAGCAGGGGTTAAACACCCAAACTGAATTCTTTAGGTTACATCTGACATCTATCTCACACCTTTGTGTAAACAAAGGACACAACTGCACACCTGGTTTTTTAAAAAAGGTGGAATACAAAGCAACTTTTGTCACGTCACATGACGTAAGCCCTACGCAATTTGACTACAATGGTGCCTCGCTTGATGAGGATAATCCGTTCCAGCAAAATCGCTGTAGAGCGAGATCCTTGTCAAGCGAAATAAAAAAGCCCAATGAAACGCATTGAAAACCATTCAATGTGTTTCAATGGACAAAATACCTGCTCATCCAGCGAAGATCCTCCATAGGGCGGCCATTTTCGGGTACGTGTAGCGAAAAATGCCTCCTAAAAACAGCGGGGAGCCATTTTGAGCAGCTGGTGGCCATTTTGAAAACCCGATGATCAGCTGTTTTGATTGTCATAATGTGAAGAATCGGTTCCCAAAGCAGGGAACAGATCATCGGGAAGCAAAAAAAGCCCATTAAAACATCATTTTGCAATCACAATTGCAATCGCAAAAACATCGTCGTGAAGCAGATTCATCGTCCAGCGGGGTAATCGTTAAGCAGGGCACCACTGTATTTTAAAGTGCAGTAGGGCTTTCTTTGTGGTCAACAAGGGCAAGAGAACACTTCCTCCTCCACAGGGCTTCCTTGTCTACCAGGCGGCTTAACAACCATGACTGAGGAGCATTGGTGGGATCAGCGTATTCAACATCGGGGAGATTCCTGTCACCACTACTGCTGCCAACATGTTCCTTGTCTGCCACAGTAACCATCCAGCTGTTGAAGGTGACACCCTCATCCAAGTAAGAAAAATATGATGGGCTGCCCAATTCTGGAAGGCTTCCTGGTTACTTCGGCACTGCTAGCTAGTGTTGTTCTTGTAAGGGTGACAGCCAGCAGCTCTATTTTCGCTGCATTAAAACAGGGTGTCTGTCTGGAAGGGTTTCACTCATGTTTGAAAACCACCCGTAGTAAAAAGCTTCCGGCAGATTATCTGCGAAGGTGTACTTTACTGCCCCAAAAAGTAATCAACTTTTCAAACTTGAAGACATTTTCTAAAACTAGCAACAAAAAAAGTCTCAAGATATCAGAAAGTCCCAAAATCTGCGGAGAGCAGAAATACTTTTATTTCACTGAAACAGTTAAGGAAACACCTCCGTTAAGGAAGAAGAATGTATGCTTGAGTACAAAGCAGGAGGAATCTAAATGACGCAGTTCTAAAGTCAGCAATAGCAGTGATACCATAAGCACAGGTTACTTCTAGATTTATATAGGCTAATAAATACATAAAATTAAATAACAGTAAGTCAAATAAGTGTACGAAGTGATTTGCCACTCTGTCTTGTGCAGACAGACAACATGCACAGGTAAGTCGATGGAATAAAGAAAAATAAATTGCAAAGGGAGCCCTGAGAAGCAAACACAATCACTATAGATTAAGAAAAGTTTCATTTACTCAATAAAAAAAACTTCCAACATTCCTCATTGATTAATGGATATGTAATTTTGTAGAGTAATGCAGCAATAGCAAGATGTTTCAGAGGAAAATAGGTTCCACAGAATCAACAAATGTTGGAAATAACACATAACCAGCATGTTAACACTACATCCACTACTTTTTTTTTTCAATATGTAGGAAAAGCCCCAACCCATCTAATGTTTTGGATTAATAGTCCTTTAACTAACTAATAATTTGCTGATCTTTCATGACACCCCTAATCTACCATGGTTGAAATTCTGTTTGTGTTAGTTTCATAACATGAGGTTGATAAAACCATCAGACAGGGCAAATTTTTCAACAAATTTATTTCTCCCAACATGAAACCCCTATGGGTCCACAGCAATCTTCTTGATCGTTGTGAACCTGTGAGGGAAAAGGGACAGGAGACAAAAGTATTTAATTAAGAAAAATCACCATCAGTAGGATGATTTTACTAGCAGAGGCAACTGAAAACTTCCCCATCCCATCTCTTGGCTCCCAAAAATTAAAGGGATTACTCAGAGCCTGTAGGAGCTTTGTGAAGCAAGGGAAAATATTATTTATTTAGAAAAAATGCCCTGGTTGATGACATTATTAGATTTATTGCTACAGAATTTACACAAATACTACTTCATCCTCTAATAGTAGAGTTGGCTATGCTTAAAATAAAGGCAAACACTGTTACCTTTAGAGTTCTGAATTGGTGCCACTACTGATGAAGATACTTAAGCAGAAGACTGGAACAAGGACACGGACTAGATAAATCAGAGATGGGGCCCAATTCCTCTCTTCAGTCCAGTCCAACACAGCCAATATTAAGAAATTAGGGGAGCTGTAATCCTAAAAATCTGGAAGACCAGATGTTCCCCATCCTGAGGTGCATGTTTCAAGAATCAGTTCAAAGGATGTTATGCACAATGTTCTAGCTAAGCACTGGCACGTTTAATCAGAAGTAAATCTCACTAAGTCCAAATAGGCTTATTCCCCCCAGAAAAACATGCAGGGGACTGCAGCCTACGCCGTTGCCATAAAACCTGTGGGATACGTGTCGGAGTCCTTGCTTGGATACTTAGAAAAATCACAGTACCTTGCATGTAGTTGTAAAAGGGGTAGCCATGTTAATCTGTGCAAGCATTATAGGTAAATGCAAAATACAAATAAAAAGTAAAAAAAAAAAGAAACACAAGGAGGCACCTTAAAGTTAACTTTTATTATAGGTAAATGCAAAATAGAAATAAAAAAGTAAAAAAAAGAGAGACAAAAACAAGGAGGCACCTTAAAGTTCACTTTTATATACTGTATTTTTAATGTGAGCTTTTGTAGGAACACGTCCACTTCATCAGACGTGTAGTGATGCTGATACACCATGAAGCAATCTGCATGCTTTCATCATCTTAAATATTAACAAATATAAGTTGCAATTCTACTCGTGAACATGAAAAATCTGTCACAATGTTATTAACAGGCCTCATTTCTAAGTAAGGTCTCACTGTAGCAGTCCTTTGTAATTTTATAAATGACGATCTTGTAATTTTACTTTGGTTTCCTTTTATTCTTTGAATGTAAGGGTGCTTTGCAGAGGCCTTTAGAAATCTAATTTAGGTTAATATATGAGTCTAGGTATTCTAGCTTATAGAAGTCATGAGTCTCTTATTTCCAATTTGCATACGGATAAAACAGGGAAGTTAATCCTCTGCCACGCAGGTTTTCGTTGTGAGAATTTTTATTACCGTGGTTCAGTAACATCCATCTCAAGGCTTGTTTCCTTGCCTGTCAAACTGAATTTTACTTCCTAGGAAACATGCTTAGATTTGTGGGCTTCAAACGCCTATAGAACTTGGTAAGTAATAATTCTGAAGCAGCTGTTTATTTTCTTTAATGTAGCCCCTTGCTAATTTTCAAAAAGCGTATCCAGTTTTTTGGAGCAAGAATTGTTGTTTTTAAGTTAATTACAGCTGTTGTTTTAGTTCACAATGGATTTGCTGCTGAAGGTTGGTTTGGATACTATGACTCTTTGTTTTTAGGTCTAACAATATTTTGGAATAGGTTGTCAGAGGGTGGGGCTGCTCTGTTTTTCCTTGGCTTTCTCTTTTCTAAATAAATAAATAAATAAAAACCAAAACAGAACTGTTCTATTTGGCACATAGCAACATTTCCTTTCCTTTCCTTTGATGGCTTTCCGTCCAAGACTGTCTAGCAGCTCATACACTGGATTCAATGTGTGCTTCCTGCTATTCTTAGAAAATCAATATAAATGGTGCAAAATGAAGTGACATGATCAGGAAGGCTAATTGTGTGACGTGTGCTCAGGCTGTCTCTGTGCAAGATTCGTTATTTAACCTTTCAGGAATTTATCCAAGGAGGTTTATAATAATAAATAAAAAAACTAGGGCAGACTAACAAAAAAAAGGAATAAGGTAGAAAGAGTAATAGCCTCAATTTAATCATCACAACAACCCTGTGAAATAGATCACACAAGAGACAGAGAATGGCCCAAGGCCACCTAAGCTTCATGAGTGAGCACGACCAAATCTCCACAATCAAAATCCAG